CTGAAAATTTATAAAATAGACAATAACCATGTTAATAAATTTTACTGAAAGTAGCCTCCTCTGGGGAGTAGGAAGGAGGGAGGGATGAACTGAGGACTCCTGTTTTTCCCTTGAACTATCTGACTCTTAAAGTTATATTTATATATAATAATTGTAATTTTAAAAATATTTAACTTAATGGTATAAGATAGAGAAAGAACCTGGGCCTTCTCCTGAGCTACCCAAGTGTCTTAGTACATTTTGTGTTGCTATAAAGGAGTATCTAAGCCTTGGGTAATTTATAATGAAAAAAAGTTTCTTTGGCTCACAATTCTGATGGCTGGCAAGTTCAAAATTGGGCATCTGCATGATGAGGGCCTCAGGCTGCTGCCACTTATGGCAAAAGGTGAAGGGGAGACAGCCTATGCAGAGATCATACAGAACATGAGGAACCAAGAGAGGCGTCAGGGAAATGCCAAGCTCTTTTTAAACAACCAGGTTTCCTGGGAATTAATAGAATGACAACTCACTTACCCTCTAAGGGAGGGCATCAATCTATCCATGAAAGATCTGCCTCCCCAAGACCCAAACACCTCCCACCAGGCTTCACTTCCAACGCCGGGGATGGAATTTCAACATGAGGTTTAGTGGGGACAAACATCCAGGCCATAGCACAAATCACAGACAGAGGAGAGAAGAGGCCTTCATACCCACATCACTGGACTCCAGCATCAGGGTGACAATGCAGAACAGGTTCACATTAGCATTGAAGACCACGAATTCCACAAAGAGGCCTTTTGTGCATTGGTCTAGCCAATGCGTCTGTTCAAGATGCTGTAGAACTCTGGGTAAACAAAGGACAGGGTCAGCTGCTTTCTCCAATACCGCAAAGGAGGAGAATATGCTGATGTTTCCAACAACACTGTCATATACCAGGTAAGAAGTTACATTTCCAAACCTACTTCTCATATGAAATATTTTATGATTACTAAAGCCCAAACTTTCACTGGTATTAATATACATTTAGTAGACCACAACAATGAAAGTTTTTATAATAATATTCACAACAAGGTTAACCATTCAGGAAAACATATTTGGCATTTCAGTTCTGAAGTATAATTTCATATGCTATGATAACTATTTCTACTTGAAGTATTAAAAGCTACTCCTTACTAACAGCTGTTCAGTTTTGGGAGGTAGAAGGAGTATAAATGTCACTATTTGGTTGGCACTGTTGTTTCTGAATAATGAATTCCTTGCTGTACATTTAAATGAAGAGGTAATTATTTTTAGACTTTTTTTCTCATGTAAAGACAGAGACTCTGAGAATAGTAAACCACTCTGAAAGTCTCAGGAAACTTAACTTCGGCATTTGAATTTTGGGTTTCTGTATTTTGGCTCACGACCAGCAATGTTTCCTTTATACGTGAAGATTACAGTTTGTCCAAGCTATGGTTACTTGAGTTTAACTCCAGCTAGGACTGAAACTGACAGGTATTTTTCCAGCTACACAATGAATGTTGGCAAACTGCCAAACCAAAACATACCTGTAGTTTGAACTTGAGCAAGGAATTTTTAAACTAAAGGGTCTATTTAGAAGTCTAAAATAAAGGCTGGGCACGGCGGCTCACGGCTATAATCTCAGCACTTTGGGAGGCCGCAGTGGGCGAATCAGCTGAGGTTGGGAGTTTGAGACCAGCCTGACCAACACGGAGAAACCCCGTCTCTACTAAAAATACAAAATTAGCTGAGTGTGGTGGCGCACACCTGTAATACCAGCTACTTGGGAGGCTGAGGCAGGAGAATCACCTGAACCTGGGAGGTGGAGCCGAGATAGCACCACTGCATTATAGCCTGGTGACAGAGCAAGACTCTGTCTCAAAAAAAAAAAAAAAAAAAAAAAAAAAAAAGAAAAAAAAAAAAAAAAAACAAAAAAAAAAAAAAAAAAAAAAAAAAAAAGTCTAAAATTAAAAAAAAGTGTCCATAAGTTTTATAGACAGTAACGTAGCTGTCAAAACAACTCAAATGGGTCTGAAATTCCTAACTGTCCTATGAATGCACTAAAGCAAATATTCTGGTCCTCTCGTTCAGGGCTGACGATACTCACTGGGTTGCAGTACTGGAGTTTCTTCCAAGTTTCACAACGTATCCTCCTCCTGAGTAAGTGGCAAATTCCCCTTGAATAGGATAGCCACCCAGGGTCTCTTGATTCAGATAATGCCAAATGCTATCAGATTTGGTGATGTTTGTATCGAGGGCGCCCCAATTAACCCCATAGTTCTCTGTGTCCTCCTGATGTTGGTGAGATGGCTTCACTTGCTCCTGGGGAGATACTCCAGCTGGGAAGCGTCCAGCATCAGGAATACGAATCTGACGAAGCAGAACATTGCCCAAAAGAAAAGAGTTCCCATCAGCAATAAATCCTAATGAGAAAGTAAAAGAAACACTTTTGTTTACATGTTTTTAAAATCTTTTTTCCAGCACATCCAGAATGCAGAAAAAAGAAACGATGTAAAAAGTGCCACATTAGGTTAGTAATGAGAAAAAATGTACACTTTCACCGTTAGGTTTGAAGACATTTTTGTAGGTTCTAAATAATACTATTAGGAAAGAAAAAGAAATAAGGATGGATATGGTACATCACACCTGTGATCCCAGCACTTTAGGAGGCCAAGGCAGGAGGATGGCTTGAAGCCAGGAGTTCAAGACCAGCCTGGGCAACAAAGGGGGATCTGGTCTTTATTTAAAAAAAATTTTTTTTTGCAGGGTGCAGTGGCTCACATCTGTAATCCTAGCACTTTGGGAGGCTGAGGTGGGCGGATCATGAAGTCAGGAGTTCAAGACCAACCTGGCCAAGATGGTGAAACTCCATCTCTACTAAAAATACAAAAATTAGCTGGGCATGGTGACGGGCACCTGTAATCCCAGCTACTTGGGAGGCTGAGGCAGAGAACTGCTTGAATCCGGGAGGTGGAGGTTGCAGTGAGCCAATATTGTACCACTGCACTTCAGCCTGGGCAACAGAGCAAGACTCTGTCTCAAAAAAAAATTAATAAAAATGAGACAGATAATAAAGTGAAATTGTCACAATTTGTAAATGATATGTCTATCTAGATGTTAAGAGAATCAACTGAAAAACTGACCTTTAAATAATACATGTTTGACCTGCACAGGTCCTCCTATATTTTCTTCCATCTCTGCTACCCCTGAGACACAAAGACCAACCCCTCTGTTTCACTCTCAGCCTGCTCCATGTGAAGATGATGAGGATACAGACCTTTACGAGGATACACTTCCACTTAATGAACAGTAAATTATCTTCCGTATGATTTTCTTAATATTTTCTTTTCTCTAACTTATTGTAAGAATACAGTATATAATACATATAACATACAAAATATGTTAATCAACTGTCATCAGTAAGGCTTCCAGTCAATAGTAGGCTATTAGTAGTTAAGCTTTTGAGGAGTCCAAAGTTACACATGGGCTGGGCACGGTGGCTCACGCCTGTAATCCCAGAATTTTGGGAGGCCACCATGGGTGGGTTATGAGGTCAGGAGTTTGAAACCAGCTTGACCAACATGGTGAAACCCTGTCTCTACTAAAAATATAAAAATTAATTGGGCATGGTGGCGTGTGGCTGTAATCCCAGCTACTCAGGAGGCTGAGGCAGGAGAGTTGCTTGAACCTGGGAGGGGCAGGCTGCAGTGAGCTGAGATTATGCCACTGCACTCCAGCCTGGCGACGGAGTGAGACTTCTCAAAAAAAAAAAAAATTATACATAAATTTTCATCTGCAGTGGCGCCAGTACCCCAAGCCCTGTGTTGTTCAAGGGCCAATTGTACTTAGAAAAAGAATTCAGCAAGGTGGCTGGATATGAAATAAACACAAAGAAATCAACAATGTTCATATGGCCACATAATATTTACCTAGATGGTATACAGAACTAAAACATTTTTTTCGAGACAGAGTCTCCCTCTGTTGCCCAGGCTGAAATGCAGTGGCACGATCTTTGCTCACTGTAACTTCTGCCCCGAGTTCAAGTGATTCTCCTGCCTCAGCCTCCCAAGGAGCATATACTACAGGTGCCTGTCACCACACCCAACTATTTGTATTTATTTATTTATTTTAGTAGAGACAAGGTTTCACCATGTTGGCCAGGCTAGTCTCAAAGTTCTGACATCAGGTGATCTGCCCAACTTGGCCTCCCAAAGTGCTGAGGTTAAGGCATGAGCTGCCACACCTGGCCCAAAACATCTTACTTATAATAGTAACACAAAAGGAAAAATAAGCCTAACAAGAGATGTACACAAACTATATGGGGAACAATTCTGAATAGTACTGAGAGCTACAGATGAAGGTGAAAACAGACATAGAAGCATACCATGCCCTCAGGTAGGAAGAATGTAATAAAAATATTAATTCCCTAAATTAATATTTATAGGTTCTTAGCCTGTATCTCTATAAAGATCTAGATCTTTATATACATTCTTAATATATAAAAAGCTCCTACAAATCACAATGGGTAAACAGAACCACACAGCCTGTTGAAAAATAGGCAAAGAATATGGGCAGATGCTTATTCATTCATTTTTTCAATCAGTATGTCTTGAGTGCTCAAAGGCACCATGTCCCGCCTAGGTACCCGGAATATACCAGTGGACCGTAAGAGAGTTTAGGCCACAGAGAGCCTGTATTTGAGGAGCGAGAGAGACAGGCAATAACCAAATAATATTCAGGTAATGATAAGAGCTACGAAGAAAAATTAAGCAGGGTAAGGGGATGAAGAGTGCTTTGGGGAGGAGCCATGCATTAGAGCAGCTTTCTCTGGAAGGTTGCGTAGGAGAGGCCCTAACACAGTCGGGGGCACACAGTGCAAATATCAGCTGCCAGGAGAACAGCAAGTTCCAAGGCCGTGAGTGAGAGCAAGCTTGACATATTTAAGGAAAATACAGATGCTTGAGTGGCTGCAGTAGTGTGAACGGTCAGAGGAGTAAGAGATGAAGTAACAGGTACGACCAGGGGCCAAACTAGGCAGGCCCTTGTAAGCTTTGGAAAGGACTTGGGACTTTAAGCTTGATGGGAATCTACTGGGAGGTTTTGAACAGTGAAGTTACACAAATTTATGTCTTAAAAATAGAATACGGGAAGGATTGAATGAAAAAAGGCAAACGCATATGGTCAAGTCTTGCCCCTAATGAGAAGGGAAAAAGGGTATCATAGTTTAGTTTGAACTTAGATTTCTCTGAGTGCAGTTGCAAAGTCTTTCATGTATTTCAGGGACACCTGAATTGTTTGAAAACACCAATTTTCACCAGGCTGTCTGCTGGGGGTGTGGGCAGGTGCTCTCATATACTGCTTCTTGTTTTTTTTTTTTTTTTTTTTTTT